GAGTGATTGGAACTCTTGCACACTATTGGTGGGAGGGCAAAATGGTACAGCTGTTGTAGAAAGTTTATGGAAGTTTCTTTAGAAATTAAAAATAGAATTGCCATATGGTCTAGCAATTCTTTTAGGTATATACCCAAAGGAACTGAAATCAGAGACTTGAAGAGATATTCATACACCCGTGTTCATAGCAGTGTATTCACACTAACCAAAAGGTAGAAGCAAATCATGCGTCCGTCGACAGATGAATGGATAAACAAAATGTGGTATATACAAACAATGAAATCTTAAGCAGCCTTTAAAAGGAAGGAAATTCTGCAATACGCTACATGGATGAACATTGAGGACATTGCGCTGAGTGAAATAAGCCAGTTACAAAACCACTGTATGATTCTACTTACACTAAATACCTAGAGTAGTCAAATTTATACATATAGAAAGTACAATGGTGGTTGCCAGGAACTGGGGGGAGGGAGAATAGAGTTTTATTGTTTAACGAGCACAGAGAGTCAGGATTGAAAGAGGTAAAGCGTTCTGGGGATGGATGGTGGAGATGGTTACACGACAATCTGAGTGCACTTAGTGCCACTGAACTGTGCACTTAAAAATAGTTAAGATGGTAAATTTTCTGTTTGTGCATTTTACCACAATTTTTAAAAAATAAAAAGGTTAAAAATAATGAAGAGAGTCTCAGGAAACACTGGGGCAATGAGTGGTCTGATATTCTTGTAATCGGAGTCCCAGAAAAGAGAGAAATAGACTTTTCAGACACATGAAAGCTAAAAGAATTCATCACTTGCAGACCCACCTTTCTTTTAACATTTCTAAATTTTTTTAACTAAAAGAAATGTTAAAAGAAGCCCTCAAGGCAGAAGGAAAATAACTGATGAAAATATGAGATCAAAAACGATAAATATACGATATTCTTTCTTATCATTTAAATGTCTTTAAAAGATAAGTGACTGCTTAGACAAAAGCAATGACAGTGTATTGTGGGGTTTATGATATGTACAAATGAAAGGAATGGCAACAATAGCTTACAAGCCGAGAGGGGAGAATGGAGGTAAATTATCATGAGATGTTTATATGATGCATGAAGGTATGTTATCACTTGAGGGTAGGCTACTAGGAGTTAAAGATGTATACCAAAAACCATAAAGCAACCTCTAAACTCAGAAAACAAAGAGATATAGCTAATAAGCCAACAAAGGAGATAAAATAAAACTATGAAAAAAATATACCCAATTCAAAAGAGAAAAAAGACAGAGGAAGAGGAAAAAGGGAACAGGTGGGACAATTATAGGAAACAATTATCAAGATGACAAATTTAAACCTGACCATGGCAATAATCTCTCCGAATGCAAGTGGACTAACCACAACAATGAAAAGGCAAAAATTGTCAAATTGAATAAAAAAGCAAGACCCAACTAAATGCAGCCTATAAGAAATATACTTAAAATATAAAAATGCAAATAGTAAAAGGTTATAAAAACATACATCATGCTAACACTAATCTATATTAATATTGGATAAAGTAAAATCCACACAGAAAAAAATTTATAAATTGGGCTTCATCGAAATTAAAAACTTGCTGTTCAAAAGACACTGTTAAGAGAATGAAAAGACAACTCACAGCCTGGAAGAAAGTATTTGCAAATCATATTTCTGATAAAAGACTTATATCTAGAATATATAAAGAATCCTAAAAACTCAGTAATAAGAAAACAAACTACCTGGTTTTCATAAATCAATTGTATTTTTATATACAATTTATATATAAAGAGCAAACAATTAGAAAAACGGTACGATTATCTTTATAATAGCATAAGAATATTAAATATCTAGGAATAAATCTAACCAAAAATGTCCAAGCACTCTACAAAAAATCAATTGTATTTTTATATACAATTTATATGTAAAGAGCAAACAATTAGAAAAATGGTATGATTATCTTTATAATAGCATAAGAATATTAATAAATCTAACCAAAAATGTCCAAGCACTCTACACAGAAAACAATAAAACATTATGGATAGAGATTATAAGAACCTAAAAACAGAGAGATATACCATATTTATGGATTGAAAGATAGTCAGTTTTCCCCAAATTGGTCATAGATTGTCACCTCAATCAAATTCTAGTGTATCATATGTGTGCAAAAACTCACAAGGTGAGTTTAAAATTTAAATAGAAATTTTAATTGCGAAGAATTGCAGTCACCTCTGAAGAATAAGTCAGAGGGACTTGCTCTTCTACATATCAAGATTTTTATAACGCTAGAGCAATTAAGACATGACAATGATATAAAAATAGACAACTAGTCCCATGAACAACTAGATGGAGCCCATAAAATGACCCAAGCAATGTGGATTTATAATCATAATTTATGTCTAGTGTGGAACCAGAGAACGGCGTGAAAAGAATGGTCTTTTCATAAATAGTAATGGGACAATTAGATATCCTTATAGGGAAAAAAAAGAAGAAACGAGCTCTCTACTTCACATGACACGGAAAGCAACTACAGGTACCTGAAGATCTAAATGTGAGAGACAAATGAATTAGTTCGTAAATAATAAAAAAATCTTCATGACATCAAGATAAAGATTTATTTGAAGGATACAAATAGCACTAACCATAAAGAAAATAATTCATAAGGGTTCTGTACTAAAATTGAGATCTTCTGTCCCCTCCCCACCAAAAGATACCAGTAAGAGAATGAAAAGTAAGACTGAATGGGGAGGGAGTTTGTACCACGTTGTGGTCAAGTGTATTTTTCAAAGATGGTCTCAACAATATCTTCTGCAGCGTGACCTTGCTTCTCTCCATCTGAGAGCTGGAAAGTATGTCACCTGAGCAAGCTGTGACTACTTTGAAATCATGTTCTGCTGGTTCTCCTGGGAGGCTCATTCTGGGGAAGCCAGCTCACGTACCCTGAGATTGCCATGCTGGAAAGGCCGGGAATGAGTTCCCAGGTTGACAGCCCCAGCTGAGCTTCTAGACAACAGCTAGCATCACCTGCCAGCCATCCAATCTAGTCAAGCCTTCAGATAGCTGACAGTGACTCTATGAGAGGTGCCAAGAAAGAATTACCCAGCCAAAACCTTCGAAAATGCCTGACTCTCAAAAGCATGAGCAAAAACAAAAACAGACAAACAGTGCTGTTTCATACCACTACATTATGGAATAATTTGTTACACAGCAATAATAATGAGAACTGGCAAGGACTCATATCCAGAACATATAAAACTACTACAAATCAATAAGAAAAAGACAATTGGTAACGGTAAGGAGCAAAAGACTTGAAATCCAAACGGCCAGTTATAAAAATGTGCTCAACTTCAACAGTAATTAGGGAAAAACTAATGAAAACCATAATAAGATACCACTGTACCCAACTAGAATGGCTAAATTTTTAAAATCAAAACTGACAATAATGTGTCGATGAAGATGTGGAATACAGGGAACCAGTTACACCACTATGGAGTGCAAAATGGTACAAACAACAAAAAAAGAGTTGGCACTGTCTACAAAGTTAAAGATACACATTCTATGATATGACCTAGCAATGTCACTCTTAGACACATACCCTAGAGAACAGGGTACATGTACACTAAGAAACCTATACAAGAGTGTTCATAGCAGCAAAAGTTGGAAATTGGTAACAACCCAAACTTCCATCAACAGTACAGTAGATGGACAAATAAATTGTTTTCACACAGCGGAAGACTACACAGCAAGAAAATGAGCAAAATATAGGTCAGTACAGCAGTACATAGGAATCTCACCAAAGAGTCCAAGCAAAAAAATATGTATGCGATAAATCCATTTAAATAAGGTTTAAAAAAACAATCAAAACATATATTTGGGTAATAAAATGATAAGAAAAGCAGGCGAATGATAAAGCCAGAATTTGGAGATTGGGGAGGGGTTGGTGTTGGGAAAGGGGGGCTTCTGATATTCTAGTGCCATTCTATACCCCTTGATCTGGGAGTGGGCACATAGGTGTTCGCCTTAAATTTTACATTTATAATCCATTGATCTATATTTTCGATGTATTGTTACATCTCACATTTTTTTTTTATTTTAAAACTAAAACATGAAAATATGTGGGGGAGAAAAATCTAACTTTATTATTTGGTCGCCTAGTTTTCCTCATTTTATTTATTAAATCATCAAAACTATCCCCACTGAGTTGTGACTCCAACTTAATAAGATATTTAACTCTTATTTCTACTTGAGAGTTGGTAATGGTTATCAGCGATCCGGTCTTGGTTTTTGGCAAGGATAAACGGACGGGGGCGGGGGGAGGAGAGGAATGGGAAAAGTGTGAATGAAACAGAATAATAGCAAGGAAGGGAGATAGTCATCGTCATGGGATTTTATTTTTAAATAGGAAAATTCTAGACACGGAACTGAAAAGAGAAAGGAAATCTGTGGGAGGGTTGCCAAGTCAGAGAGTAAAGTGTCACCTGATAAAAGGACTTATGAATGAGCTCAGAGCAAAAATATTTGGGGGCGCTCTAAAGAGGAGGCCATGCCCGCGAGTGGAGGTAGGGTATGGCGGGCGCCTGGCCCAGGGCACCTACGGCACCACGTAGGTGGTAAGATAAAGTCTGTGGAATGTTCTCAAAGATTGGACTTACAGCCATTTTTAAATTATATTTATTGTTTCCCCCCCCCGCCCCCGCTTACTTTAAATGTAGTATTTATTAATTGAAGACAGAAAAATACGCGCTGCCACATTTTGTCCAACCTGGACTGCGGGGCTCCATTCCGGTTTAAGCACACAGCCAAGGACAAGAGCAGTACCTGCGTTCTCCGCCAGCCGGAGCGGTCCCGCGGGGCTCAGGAGGGGCGGTGACTCGAAGGGGGCACTCACCCTCCTCCGAGCCGCGGCGCGAAGCAGCACGGTCTTGCGGAGCGGGATGCCCCGGGTCGGGGGCGGGCTGAGAGGTGCGAGGGGCGGCCTGAGGC